GTCCAGATGATAGTGTGTGGGTCCATCCTGAGTGGCACTTGTCCGGGAAAAGCTGCTGTCAGGCGCTGCTGGAGCGTCTGTTCGTCCGAGTGGGGGACTGTGGCGGTTGGTCTTGGTCTGGGCGGCTTTGAGGCATTCATCTTGCGCATGACCTGAGCGACTTTGTTTGGGTAGGGTCGTTGGGTGCCGACGCAGTGAGTACCCGCGGACATGTCCCGCAGTCGCAGATGTTTTCTGGGTAGGCCGGTGGCGTCCATCGCTTCGAGTTCGGATAGGAGCGCCTTCATGGATCGGGCGTTTAGTCCTCGGATCGCCGTGTCGTTGGCCACCACGACGAGGTCCAGGCCCCCCTTGTAGTCAGGGGTGGGGCCGTCAGTTCCAGTCCCGCTGGTAAGCTTGCACGCTTCACCGCGGCTCAGCCGCGCGAGCTGGAAGACATGCGGTGTGTTGTGTAGCTGCGTGTGGGGGCCAGTTCGGCTGTGCGGGACAATGAGTAGTGTGGCGGTGGGCAGTGCGGATGTCCTTGTGTGTGATGCGCCTGCGACTGCCCACATTACTGCCTTCTTGACACTGGTGGGGTCGGGGTTCGGGTGTGCTATCGAGAGGCCTGTAAATGGCTGAGAGAATGCATCTATGTTTGCCCCGAAGAGTTGGTCTTCTGCGTGGGCACTGAAGTAGTATTGCACCTCTTCACCGCAGTTGAGCGGGGATGAGAACCTTTCGACGACTGGGCCAGCATCCAGGGCGTGCAGGGCATCAATCAGCGTGCAGCGCAGTTTTCTGCTCATGGTCGCCTGCGACCTTGGCGGGCCTTTCGATTCGCGCCCGTCGGGGTCCTTTCCGTACCGCAGAAGAAGGCGCGCGACGTCCTCGGCGAAGCCGCCCTGGGAGGACAGGCTTCTGTGCACCTCCGGGTAAGTGTCGATCGTGTGTTGGTATCGCATTCTGAGGGTCTCCAGGCGTTGCAGGGTGAGGGTGCCCACGCATTTCCCTCTCGGGTCGTAGACGAAGGCCGTGTTCCCTTCGGTCGAGCCGCCCTCTCTGGTTAGCAGACCTAGCTGGATTCGATAATTTCCCGTGGGGCGCGTGTCCGTGTATGGGTTGCACGGCGTAGTCTCAAAGGTAGTGTTTGCTCGAATAAGGCGTGCCCGCTGGGTCTGCTCCGAGGGGGGCGGGTTCCATCGGCCTTGCCTCTGAGGGTTCGTTAGATTGCTGTCCTTGGGTTTGGGGTATCTCGAGAGGGGGTTCACACTCTGCGACCTCGTTTGCTCGTACCTCGCCATCGCCGCTGGTCCGTTGGGTAACCTACCGAGTTGCGCGGCGGGGATATCTGACGGTTCCCATACCGCTCTGCGGAAGTGGCGGTCGATCCGCGTGCCGTAAAGACCTGTCACTGGTAGTAGCTGTCTGGGCACGTATCCCATGCTGGCGTATGCGCCGACGATAGATATCGGGGTGATAGTGTCTTTCCAGCGAACTGTGTAGTACTGTTCGTGGGTTGCGGTCGTATCGGCCCCGATTTTCTGTTTCTTGGGAGGTTTAACGTTTGAGGGGACGATGCGTTTTGTGATAGGGCCCGCGAGTACTTCTACGATGTCCTCTACATCGTTGTATAGGTCATAAACTATCTGTTGTTGCCCCGTTGTGTCCTTTGCCTGGCCTTTTCCAGGCTTCCAGGGTATCCTGTCCTCCAGTATTTGGTCGCGGGCGACTTTCCATCGAGGTCTCCACCATTGCGGGGTGAGGTGCTCTGGTGGCTTCGGCGTCCCCGGTAGCACTCCGGCCGGTTCGGGTGCAGGCGGATCACCGGCGTGGTCCCTGTCGGCGGTGTTCGGGCCGGCCCCTGCCGCCTCCGCGCCTGCGCCGGCGCGAGGGTTACGTGGCGCTACCGGCGTACAGTCGAGTCCCTTTTCTGCAAGGTACACCAGCACTGGGTTTGGGGTACCGATTTCTCCTGTCACGGGGGTCATGCCGATGCTTAGAGTGCGACGGGTTTGCCGGTTTGGGCGCGGTCGCGGTCCCTGGACGATAGGCCCAGGGGGGTTCCCTAGGTTGGGCACACTCCTACGGGTGTCTTTTCGCAGAGCTGCCATGACGCGTCTCGCTTCCATATAGGATGTGCATTGCGGGGCCGGGTCGCGGAGTTGCACGCCGTGTATAGCTGCACTATCTGTTCCCACGTTACTGTTGTCACAGCGTGTATTGTTGTTGATGAAATCCTGTTGCCGCTGGTGGACGGATCTTGTGCGTTTCCGTCCTGTGCATGCTGGTTCCGCAGGGTGGCTCGGCGGCGCTGGTGGGTCACTCTCCATGTCGTCTGGCTCTGCACGGGGGTGGTGTGGCTTCTCCGTGGTCGTGCTCCACACTATAGGTGTGTCGCGGCGTACATGTGGGTCGAGGGATGGTGCTAGTATCGGGTTGGGGAGACTTGATTTGTGCCGGAGACCGGTGTACGGAGGGTCACTGGGGATCTCGCGGAGGCGTCTGTCTTCCAGAGGCAGCGCGGACGACCAGTGACGTGGGTCATGTGCCTTCGTGTGTGGAGCTTGGGGGCATTGGGCACTTATCGCTAGGCTTAGTCGATTCAAGGCGATCTTGTGCCGGTGCTGCACCTTGCCCCGGGGGAAAAGCTTCTGAAGATCAGTGGTGGTGATGAGGTGTTGTGTTGTGTTCTTGTCGATGAGCGCGTGCATGTCTAGGCCCAGCTCTGTCAAGGGGAGCAAGCATCTGTACGGCAGGGTTTCGGACTTTGTGTCCTGCCGCGCGTTGACGGCGGAGGCGGCCGTCATGAGAGTGTTTAGGGATGTGTTATACGGCATCCCTTTGTCGGTGACCGCGATGCCATGGTCTCGCGCCAGGGTCAGCTGTTTCAGGGTCGTGTAGAAACTGCTCTCTCGTTTCAACG